TGGAGTGGAGTGCTTTAACATGTCATCCCTAGTGCAGACGTTAGTGAGCGAATCTCGCAGTCAACAGAGTTAGGTTCAATCTCGCTTAGGTGTTTTCTTTTGCTGTTGTGGTTCGCTTTTTTCGGAACTTCCGCAGCACGTTTACGGAACTTCCGCAGGTTCCGGCGGAAATTTCCCGAACGTTCTGTGGAAATTCCGGTCAGTTCTTTGAGGGGTTTGAATTTGATAGTTTCAGACATAGTGCGGTTGAAAATTGTTTTTGAGAAAAGAGAACCCGTACACTGAGCAAAAGAATGAGTAAAATTTAGGAATGAGCTGTAAACTCTAGAATTCCCAGAAGCTCTTATCTTTCAACCGAAACTATAAAGAAAAAAGAGAGGAGAAGAAGTTGGCATAATCAATAGTTTGCTACTGCCACCTCCAAGATTTCGAAAACAACATGCTATAGCAATTCAAAAACTTTGTGGACATTTATTCTATCGATTTTTGCAGGGGCAAAGGGACCGTTTCTAGAATTTTTTGAAAAAAATAAATGACTTCACTCACCTTGTATTACCCTATCCCTGTTCTCACACTCCATCAGACGACGAACTTCTCGACCTAGCAATGTATGCTTCGTTCCGGTCACTAGTGCAATCCCTTTGAGTACGCCTAGAGCTGAAATCACATCTGCTATCACAAAGGAATAGGCATTCTTTATTTTCTTTCGAGTCTTCAATCATGACTTGTATGTCCCAAATGCGCAATGAGTCGTAAATTTTCGAAAGCGCAAAATTTTCAAAATACTTACACATCAAATCATTTCTCATGCATGTTCGTGACAGGAACGCGCTGTTGCTTTCGATCATTTTGTTAATGAGGCTGAGATCCAGTGCACGCTGTTCTTCGTTCGTATTTGGATCAGAAAACGATGACACAACTTCTCGAAGTGATCGGTGATCATTCTGCAGAATGAGAAATGAGAAAATGTTTCAAGCGTATCGGCGCTTTGAGTGCAAGAATGGAAAAAGCTATACCAAAAATATGTTAGAATCTCTCCCTGACTTCAGCTCTATTACAGTTTTGAATTATTCGACACAGTGAGTTTACTGTATAAAAGAGGTAAACCGTTTGACTATGTTAAGGGTACGATATGTACTTATACCCTAACCTAGAATTAATCTGCGTTCGACGCAACCTCTGCTGATC